ATTTAAATTATAGAAGCTATCTGCAATTAACATAATATCCTTGAGGTTGTATTTGGATTTGCTCAACCATAGGGTGTTATCCATACAGTCATACCTCTCTATAGCGAATTTTTATATAACGAATTTTTTGGACAACTATATTAAATTTACCCTCGTTATAACGAACTAGCCAATCAAATTCTTTAAAAAATTCACTATAGCTCTATAGCGAAGTTGAAGTTCAGGACATAAAATTCGTTATATCAAGGGTTGACTGTAGTAGCAATATATTTTTTTATATCTAATATAATATTCTAAAATAATTTATTAAATAAGGTATAAGAAAAAATATATCATTCTGAATATATAGAATATACAGGATATATAGGAAGAATATATTTCAGATAAACAAAATGTATAGGATATACAGGATGTACAAAAAAAATAAACAAGATATACAGGATATATAGGATATATAGGATATATAAAAAGAATATATTATTCTAAATATACAAGATAAATGTATTATTTCAGAATTTTATTTGTATATATTTTTTTTGCTATATAACCATGCCAATATTATGTCTAATATATATATACTGAAAAATATAAAAAATAGAAGACATTGGCTGGGTAGTACATATGAGCAAAAGTTCAAAAAAAAATTAAGATCTGTTACTAAATTTAACTCTGAGATTAATGATCTCAGTAAAAAGCTAGTAGATAAGTATAATAGGCGAGAAAAGGAGTTTCATCAAATCTATGCTGATATTAGAAATAAAGTTAGCCAGTTAAATGATGCATATATTAAGCTTAAATTCCAATTTACTTCTAAATAGAAGTCTTATTCTGAAAGTCAACGTAAGCATGAAGCAGAGCAAGCTAATTATTCTGCTAAAATTAAATCATTCAAATCCAATATTATAACATTAAAGAAAGAAGTAACTTTAGCATAGAAAGCTTCATTCTTTGATAAAGTCAAGATCCTTTCTCTTGAAATTAAGATAGTTGAATTAGAAGGTAAGTTGCTAGATCTGAAACTAGAATATGATTCGTATATAGTAGGAGAACTACTAGAGGAGCTGGCCCAAATAGATTCATTTGATCCCAAAGAGAATGATTCTTTTAGGCTTGAATTAAAACAGGTAAAGGATGATTTATCCTCAAAAGATTATGAAATAGATTTTATGGAAAAAGAGATAGAGGCATTATATAGCATATTTAAACGGGAAATAGATATTTTATCTTTAGCACAATTAAACCTATTAGAGAAAAATTCTCGCCTTAAGGATTTACTATTGGAAAAAAATAATGAATTGGATTCTACATTTCTATCTATAAATGATTTATCACAACTTTCTGATTTTAATTCCTTCATTCCAGATAATTTCTATAGGTGACGCAAAAACAGTTTTGGCTGTTTCTATTGTTACGAATTCTTTAATATCGCTAATGTTAATATATATCATACTTACTTTATTACTTCTCACAATTATATAGTTCGTGATCGGAAGATGAATATGGGATGCATTTAGTATGAACTAAAAGAAAAAAATGACCATTACATTTAGACTAGAGATTTATATCTCTGGATATATTTAAGGTCAGACTATATGATCAAAAGCTAGAAGTTCAAAGATAGAAATTGAAATTAGTCGGTATTATTGCATGAGAAAATATGGAAGGCGGTCAGTAGAAAAGGGGAAAATTTAAAATTTTTGTTAATTTTTATTATTAAGCAAAATTTGTGCATATAATCGAGATTAGCTAAGTAGTCTAATAATATAAATTTTGACCAAAATTTAGATTTTCTGACCATCTTTTATATATATAAAAAATATTATGTAAAGCGTCTTACAATTAAGTTTTTAGCTGGAATTGTCAGACCTCACTAAGAGAATCTAGAAAGTTTATTACAAGCTTTTAATATATCTTTTAAGCCATTTTTTGCTTCATCTTGGGAATATTTGTTGATTTGCTTTTTCTTTTCATCTGAATCCTTGAGTTGCATGATTTTGTATGAAGAATGTAGTTGATATTTATCATCCTTATTAATAAAGCGTACATATATTCAAACCATAGTGCCTAAATAATAATTAATATCTATTTTCATGTTTTGCTTTTTTGCTACATCTGCGTATTCCATATAATTTCAACTCTATGTGGTATCTTTCTATTCTCTTCATTATAGAGAGGTGGTCCTTTGACGATTACGTGGCTAAAATGTTCATCAGAATTAGGAATCCTCTCATTTCTCTTTTTCATACGTCCTATAAAGCAATTATTATAGAGATTTTTTTAGACTTCTATGTATCATTACGATAAATTTATCTCCTTTGATCAAGATCTTCAAGAGATAGCTATTTCAATTGCCTAACTCGATAGGTTTTCTTTTTTTGAATTATAATGAGAAAAAAAGCTTAAAATAAAGGTTTGCTATATCTGAAAAGAGACTTATTGCTTTATTTATTTTTTTAAGATTAGGTTTGAAATTTTTTTGTGTAAGTAGTATAGTAGTATATGCAATAAAACAATATAAAATTATATAGAAAACTGTAATCTTCAAAATAAAAAATATATGTGATTTTGGGCGAATATACTTATTGACAAAACACTGAGTTAGAGGTAGTATTCAAAGTAATCAATGTAGTATTACCCAAAAGTAATTGAGGCAGTAATATCCTAAAGTATCCCAGAATAGTAACTATACAAGAAAGAGTTTTAGGAATGTAGAAGTGTAAATAAGATATATATTTGGTAGTACACCAAAGTAGAATTATATATAAGAAAGAAAATAAGAAGTTATGCTTTAGTATATTATCGGTGATAAGCAGGAAAAAGGTCAAAAATGCAGAAAGATTCAGGATAATATAAGAAAAAAGAAAAAAATGTATAAAATCTGTAAAGTCTGAACTAATTTAGCATTTTGTGTCTCATTTGGCAATCAAGAAATAGCAATCAAGAAGAAAATATATGGATTGCAAGTTTGGTACTTCGTGTCTCAACCTGGCAATCAAATATAAATATAAAGATAAATTGCAAGTAAGTTCAGCATCATTTCTTGATATGTCGATCTGTAAGAAATAGCTTTTCCCTTTTCTTGAAAAATTTCAGCAAACAATATTTGCTCAAATCACGTGCTCTAAAGATCAGCTAAAATTATGCCATAGAGCTGATCGAAATTATGGCATAGAGCTAGCCAAATTAACCATGAATTTACTATACTACTGACACAATTTTTTTATCACAATTTGGTATTTTAACAGACAATTAAGCAGGTATAAAAGATAAGCTTCTTAATATAAAATCAAAAATCCATTCAGGCGTAGAAGGTCAACATTCTTAACATAAAATCAAACAGTTACAGAAGGCTAACAAGCCTAAATAAAGAATCTGGCAACCAATTAGGCACAGAAGGCCAGTGCCCTCAACATAAAACCAGATATCTAAAAAGTCACAGAAGATTAATAACCTCAAAATAGAATTTGTTATTCATTCAGATGCAGGAGGTCAATACTAATTGAATATCTACAAAGTAACAAAAAAATCACGGAATAATAAAACAAGTGGATAGCTATAAGATAATAAAAAGGTCATAGAGTATTGAAAACAAGTAAGTAGACATTACTATTGATATAGGTAGGTAGCACTATTATAAGTAGATATCATTATGATGCAAGTTGATGTCATTATATATATAGTAACATTGATTAGGACCTAGGTCCTAGGATCAGGTTCTAAATTAAGTATATTATTAATTTATAAAGAATTTTTTATTTTAAATTAATAAAAAAGTTTATTAAAAAATTTAATTAATAATATATAAATAAAAATTATCTTTAAACTCATAAAACCAATTAAAACTTTTTAGAACTTTACCAATTTTAGTTTCATTTGATAATGTTAACTAACAAATTATAAGAGTAAATAAAGATTTGGCTTTATACAAATCTTAAGTTATGAATTATCAATTAAATAATGAATAACACATAAAGAAGAATAAATTTAGAAACACTTATGAAATAATAAAAATATATAAAAAAGAATAATTTTAAGAGAATTTAAGGAATACTTATAATAAGTATAAATTAATGAAAGAATTTAGAAAAATGTGATATAATATTGTTTAATATTTAAGAAGAAAAGAAGATTTTTAGCAAATAAAATAATTTGTAAAGCAAATCCTCTTGATGATAAATAATAAAAACATATTAAGAATATTTAAGCTATATCAAAGCTATTAAACTTAAAAATAGCATAAATTTGTAATATCAGAATTGTGATGATTATAATATTATTAAGATTAAGTATAATTATATTTTAAATACAAATAATAAAATTAGTTTTTTTTTAGTACAGTGAATTCTTGATATAACGAACCCTAAGGTCTGGATCTCAACTTCATTATAAACTCATAATGAATTTTTTAAAGAATTTAATTGGCTGATTCACTAAAGTAATTTTAATATATTTGATTTAAAAATTCGATTCGTTATATACTGTAATAACAATAATTTGAATAATTTTAAAGATTTTTATTTCTTTATTTCTTTATATTAAACTAAAAATAATTTTAATAATTTTATATTTTATAACTTCTATTTTGATTATTATATTAAAAAATTAAAATTTAATTAAATAGCAATATAGATAGAATACCAATTTTTAATAAATTTTAAATTTTATAAATTATAAACAATAAAAAAGAATTAATGTTATTTTATCAAAAAAAAATAAATAAAGTAAATTACATTATTATTTTTTTAAAAAAAAATTAAATATAAAATAAAATAAATGAATCAAAAAAAATTAGTTGTTAAAAAAGATATAAAAAAGCCATTAATAAAATATTATAAACTGTACAATACAAGTAAAATTTAATTTACAAATGTATGAAAAGAATACATTAACGAATTAATTAATGAAAAAATATTAACAATATAATATTAAGTATAAAATATCATTATTTTCTTAAATGCAATTTAAATGTTATGTGAAAAGAGATTGTTCATAATGATTTCCTAAACAATTATGTTATCATTATTAACTGATTTATGTACTTTTGATAATTTATCTTTAGTTCTTTTCTGCATTGTTTTTATAACTTTTTTGACTTTTCCGCTTCCTCCTATTACTCTTTTTCTCAATATTCCCAATACACACCCTTGACATGAACAATTTGCAAACGAATCGGAATTACTAACAATCGAATTCCTTGAAATTGTACCTGAATATTCTAAAGATTGATTAATTCGAGACAATTGTTTATTAAAACTACGATGATGTGACAATTCCTTCATCTTACGAATAGAATCACGTTTTCGAATATGGTGATATGGAAAAGGCAAGGAACTATTCGAAGGAACAGATGAAGTGGAAGTAGATGAAATTGAAGTTACAGCTGTTTGCAATTTGTTGCTGGGCACGGACATATTTAACGATAAAGGTGATGGAATTTCAGGAATTTCAATTATTGATGTTGTAGAAGATACATGATATCGCTGCGACTTTAAAAATGATGAAGAAATTGATTTTGGCTGATTGTAGTTAGATGATTGTCTGACTGGAAATGATGTGATATATGAGGTTGATAATGGACGTAGAGGCCTTGGAATATCTGGTGATAACGGGATTAGATATGAAGTCGACAACGAACGTTGTCTATTCGGAGATACTAACGGAGGTGATAAAAATCGAACCTGGGATGACGGAGATGAAAGCGAACGTTTTCGGGATAATGTGATCTGTGATGGAGACAGCGAAGTTGATCGCCGGTTCTTAAAATTATCTTGCTGGTGATTTCTTATCCGAACCGAACCTAGTCAACTACAATCGTCAATTGCTGATTGTTCTTTAAGAGAAACTTTATCCGATGTTTCTTCATAATCAAAGCCCGATATTTCAATTTCTTCATCTTTTTTGTAAAGCATTTGTATATTATCCTCGTTGATTTCTCCATTACTGTCGGGGGGTGACAATGAAGAAGGAAATAGTTTTGATGAATCTTCTTCTTTAGGACTGAAATATCCCTGTAAGAGAACTTCCGTCAATTCTTTTACTAATACGGCTGGATCTTCTTTGCTCATTCGCTCAATAATATCATATAATCCGTATTGTTCAACAACGGCTTCTCGTTGTGGATGTACATCACATACTGATCTTAAAATCCTCAACAGGTTTAATCTAACAACAGCTTTAGGATGTTCGAGCCTGCGCAATAAACGCTTGAAGAAATTTTGCTGTGCTAAAGCGCACGTCACAGATGGAGATAATTGAGTCATAAGGTGCAATGGTTCAAGAATGTTTTCAAATGAATTTGCCTTTGAAGTAATAAATGCCTCAAGAATAAGATCAATATTTTTAGGTTGAAGTAATATTGGTTCAACCTTTTCGGTTTCTTCTTGTAACCAGATAAGAATGGACTCTATAGCATTAACTTGCCAGAATGGATCAGACATTAAATCCAAATAAAGCTGTAAAATATTATGTTCCCACAACAATTCGCGACAATCCTTTCCAGTGTGAGCCATCTCACAAAGGATAGGTAATGCGAATTGTTTAAGTGGAACTTTGTTATAAGCAAAGTATTTCAAATGAGGGATGATTCCTGCATTAGCGGCTGCTTTTTGTCGAGATTTATTGATACGACAAAGGTTGTACATTGCATTGAGAACTTGGTTTGAAATTTCAGTTACATAAGGTGGACCTTGATCGTCAAGGATTCTGGTGAGAACTTGAATTGCTCCAGCATATTGTAAGGCTTCCAAAGTATTTGAATTCATTGATAAATTCTTAATACATTTCAGCATTTTCACCATTAAATTTGGTGACAATTTGCCTAAATCTTCAAATATTCGAGAGACCACTCGGGTGCGTGTGGCCATAACTTCCTTTATATAAGCATCGGCTTGTGAGAACGTTAAGAGTATATTGACAATTTTATTTATATAACCTGAAGCCAGAGGATCCGGATCAACAATTACATTATGTAAGGTTACCGATAATGGGTCAAGCAATCCATATTTTGATAACAATCTGCAAAAATCATTCTTAGGAGTTGGACTTTGAAGTTCAAATACACTCCAAATTCCATTCACTGCTATCCATATTATTTCTTTACGTTCAGCATAATCCTCTTTTAAAAACTCTACCAATACTTTTAAACCTCGACAAGAAACAAACATCTGAAGAATTACTGGAGAGGTGTGACATATTTGCCTTATAAAAATAGCTGCTTCGAGTCGAATGTCATAAGAGTGCATTCTAGATGCGAAATTCATGATAATAGGAATTCCACCAACAAGACAAAGGTTCTCTTGAAGGTTTATGTTTTCTTTAATAATGATGTTCACAATTTTCAGTAGCCTTGATAAAACTTTTGTATAAGAGCATATTTCCAATAGATCTATGATGGGAATAACTCCATGAACCATAATAAAATGATTCTTAAGTTCTTTATGTTCCGTTAGTAATTCAATTAATTGCACACACGTAACGACTAAACGATCTTCATCCTCACTAGGCTGTAAAGCATTTATAAGTTCTTCCAAACGCAAACAAGCTCGTGCGTATTTATCCCTGGCGATACGTGCATCCATATCCATTTCATCCTCATCGAATTCCTTTTCCATTTGAGCAAACGGGTCATCTTCATCACTTAGATCATCTCCAAGCCAGCTGCTATTGGATAATCGAGTATTTAGTTTCAAAGTATGACTCACACCATCTTCGTCTTGATCATCAGTAGCAACAAATACATCATCATAATCATCATCTTCAGGTTCACGATATTGATAAAATTCATTTGGAACCGAATCATTTTGCGGTGTCGATGAAGTTTCTGGAGTTGGAATAACGATTACCATTGCATCTATTTGTTGTACCGAAGCGACTCTTCTTATATTTTGTGCTTTATTCGTTGAAGATTTATCCGATGAAGATTCATGTATTGCTGATGATGGAGAAAGAAATTTGTCTGAAAATTTCATCGTTCCATTCTTTAGATTGTCCTGTATTGCTTGAGATTTAATCATACCCTCAAGGTTACTTGTGGAACGGGCATGATGTTTGGACACATTTTTTGGAGCGATAATTGTATTAAATTCTACCGTGTTTGAAGTTATATCTGACAAATTCGTAATTGATGCTTCAGGAACTGTTGATTTATTTTCTTTTTGTTTTAAACTTATGACGGTATCTTGCATATATTCCCAATTACTACGCTTTTCAGTCGGGGTTCCATTAATGCTATCACTAGTATGATTTTCTTTGCCGTTAGTTTTGGCAATATTTTCTTGATGTGACACTTTTTGTATCATTTGAAATTGACAAGGTTTAATAGTTTGTGTGTTATCATCATCAATTTGGCTCATTTGCTTAATTTGATGTGCAGTAATTTTCGTAAAAGATATAGAATCTGCGAAATCATCATCCCAAATATCAGCTTCATCGTCAGGTTCAGCAATTGCAACCGACAATCGATTTTGCTGTATAGTGGAATTATTGTTTATAACATTAGGAACGTACCCCAACAAATTATCACCTCTGTTATTTTCAGTTGATACCGGAATATTTGGTAATTTTGATGCTGGTGATGATGATGATGAACTTGGATGATTATAATTAGATGATTGAAGCATTTTAAAATTTGACGGAAAAGAAGCAGCTGACCTTATGGATTCACTTCTCCCCCTTCTGTATTTATATTTTGGATTCTCTATAGCCTGATTCCATTCTTGAACTTCCTTTATCGTTTCTTCCGTTTTTATCTGTTGAGGTATTGAATTTATAGCCCTCTTACGAACACCAGTTATCCAATTATGTTTTAATAATCTTCGGGCAGAAACTCGACGATTACCATCCTTTTGAAAACATTGCAAAAGGAAATCTTTCACAGCCTCTGAAGCACTTTCAGGCAAAGGTGGATGTTCATCCTGAACAATACGAAAAAGTGCAGGCATTGGATCCAAATGATGATAAGGAGGTTTCCCTTCCATAAGTTCAATTACGACACATCCAACACTCCAAATATCCGATGAAGTAGTAGCACCAGATAATTCAATTATTTCTGGAGCCATCCAATAAGGTGACCCAACTACAGTAAAATCGCTTAAGGATGTAGTTTTCGTAGCAACACCAAAATCGGCAAGCTTCACTAGACCTTCTTTTGTCGTCAAAATGTTTGCACCCTTAATATCCCGATGTATTACACCTTGATCATGAAGGTAGAGTAAACCATCTAAAACTTGACTTATATATACAGCAACAAGGTTTTCTGGAAATTTTCCAAATTTTTTACATATATTATGCAGGGAACCATTCTCACAATATCTTTAAAATCGATTTAAATTAATATTATTAATAAACATCTATGTTGAAAAGTAAGATATATTCGTAATTTTATTTATTTTTTTTTTTTTAAAAAAATAAAAACTCACTCCAAAATTATATATAAAAATTCTTTTGTCTTGGCGTATCCTTTGTATTGAACAATATTTTGATGCTTTAATAATTTTTTTTTTGGTAATAAAACAAAAATTATTATTAAAAAAAAAAAAAAAAGAGAAAAATATTTTAGAGAAAATGTTTAAGAACTTACGTCAAGATTTTTTAATAAATCAATTTCTGTCTAATAATTAATTAATTTGCAAATATCATGGATTATGAAAAATTAGAATCAAAAAAAAAAAATTAAAGTTATAGTAAAAAAAGACTTACCATAATAAAATTTAATTCTGATTTTGGTATATTACTTAACTTCACACGCTTGACTGCTACAGCTTCGCCTGTTTCCCAGTTTAATGCTCGATAGACTGAACCAAAGGCACCTTTCCCAATGCAGTCGCCCAATTGCTAAAAAGAAATTTTTTCTTGACCGATTAAATCACATTCGATCCAACAATTCAAAGAGAAAGAAAGAATAACAATAATAATGCTTACGTATTGATCAATAGTTTGGTTTATGAATCCCATTGCGATACTTTTGAGTATAAATTAATAACTATCGAGTTTCACTGGGGTAAAAGAAGGGCATTGAAGAATACAAAAAGTGAATAGTTGATAAAGAGTGGTTGAAATATTTAAATAACGGTATAAGGGAAACTGCACAAAGGGGGAGGGGGGGAGTTGTTAAGATTTTGAATAACGAGGGACGACCTTAAAGGTGAACTAATATAGAACAACGAATTAATTAAAAACACCCAAATATCTATCGTAAAAAATTAAACAAATATAATAATAAGATCTAAAGAAATTAATACCTAATAATTTCACGAGCAAGAAATAAGAAAGTTTTGTTTTTCGGTGAAAAATCTAATGTATGATTAAATAATATTTTGTGATTTTGTGGTATTGTTGATCAACAGGAGGGTACGACGGGATCGTGGAATTTTTTTTACAAAGAGCAAAAAGGGGATTTGTTCATGTATACAATGAAAATTTTGAAAGATAATGAAAGTGTCTCCTTATTCGGCTAGACCTTTTAATCTCTCTTTCAACTTTTTTATGTAAACATACAAAACGGAAATAAAGATTCAGGGTTCTATGAAACAATAAATCATTTAATGACAAGAAAAGTTTTCCTTGTTTTTTTTTTTTTCGCGAAAAAACGGATTTTCCCTCGATATTGTATTCAAAAAAGTTGTATTAACTATTGTTTAGGAACGAGGCTTCTTCAACTCGTATCGAATTAACACATCATCACATTAATATTTGAGACAAAGAAATTGTCGTGTTATTGATCCCTACATGTCCTACCCATTAATTTTAATAATTGACATAAAACATGGCTATAAAAGCGACTTTTGCAAGATTTTTATAATTTATTTTAAATCTTTTGATGCAATTGACCCTTAATATAATCAAACGCTTCAATAAATCCATCCAAGACAAGGCGCAGTCAGTAAGGTGGCATCTTCGCCAGAATCCGTAGATCTTAACACTTTTGATATTTTAATTTCGGATCCTTAATTGATTTCTAAGACGGAAATTCTCTCATACGGAGCGGCATAATCGACGCAAAAAAAAGTAAAAGTAAAGAAAATCATTCAAAATCTCAAAAAATCAAGAGAACTATGACCTTCATATATTGAAAAGGATGCATTGCTAAAATAAAACATGATAATTTACAGTTTTTAAAATAATTAAAGGTTCGCATTTCACATTCGACTTAAATTAGTGTTCGATTTAGCGCGACAAATTATATAGCTGCTAGCGGCCACACAAACTCCAGCACCGAATCCACCAAGCAACAAAGCTACTATGGTTCCCACTTCTTCATTTGTATTTGGAGTGATATAACCATAACAACTTACATCTTCCGGTTTTATCGTTTTCTCTTTTACAAAAAGAGTTATCCATTTATAAACGTCATTTTCACTTAGATCTAAAATGTAAACATCGGATGTTCGACCATGCGTTGGCGAAAATCCTAAAACGAAAAGGAATTAATATTTTTTTTTAACGGAGGAAGGTCACATGAGTATTAACTGGCCTACCAAATGCTACAACCATATAATTACCAACCATAACGGCTATGTGTAACCACAGATCGGGAACGGGATAATATGATTTAGGTTGTGACCAAGTATAAGGTGTTGTGGTGGTATTTAAAACGCACAGTTGTGGTTCGGCTGCGGTATCATTTACTTTGCCTCCATAAATGATAATCCTTCCATCAGGAGCTAAATGATGTTATATTTGTTACACGGTGGAAGATTTTTATTTTTAAGCAGAGAATTTGGGACGCACCTAAAACAGACGTATGTTCTCCTCGGATTCCAGGAACATTACCTTCTGCAATCTTTTGGCAAAAATTTTTCTCCAGAATTTATAATGTTTTTAAAAAAGGGGGAAAAATAATTTAAATAAAAAAAAAAATTTTTTTTTTTGAAATGCTTACCATTGTGGACCATCTGTCGTGATTAGCATCATAGATAGAAATCTAGAAAATGTAAACAAGTAAATAATAGATTAACGAACAACGTAAGGAAAAAAAAAATTCATACTTCGCTCATATCAACGTATGCATAAGTTCTATTGGAGAACCTTTGGATTCCTCCAATGTAAATGATAATTCCGTCTGGTAACATTACAACGGAATAACTTGTCCTTGGTATTGGAGCATCTTCTTTGGAACCTTCATACCAGATTAAATTTACCGTGTCTAAAATTGTCATGTCATTGAAATCCGTTGTGTTTGGATAGCCTGTATATTTATCAGCAGTTCCCCCGAATATATACATTTTTCCAGCTTCATCACTTACAGCAGCAAAATTTCTCCTTCTTAAAGGAGTCGCTCCCTTTATGTTTGGATTATCCCATTTATCTTTATTCGTATCAAATACATAAACGAGAGCATTGTCTTTATTAAATTCCATTTGACCCCCGAATAAAAAGATTAAATCTTGATTTACACCTCCAATTGCACTTGAAGCCCAACTATTTGCTGGTACTTTGTCTAAATGTGTAATGTCCGTCCATGACATTCTCTCTATAGTATTATTAAAAGGTATATCTGTAACATCAAGGTAAAAGAAATCGTTTGTTGGTCGATATGAACCATCAAAGACCATAACATCTCCCCCCAAGACATACAATTTATTTCCAATGAGATTTGCTGTCGGTGTATCTCTTGGTATGGTTTTGGCATTTAAACAAATTAAAAAAGTGACCGAAAGAACGAATATACTTAACATCATGTTGATATAAATTCTTTATTTTTTTTTATTTTTTTTTTTATAAAGAAAAAATGATTGATTGAATTTTTTCAAAAAAAAATCAATTAAAACTTTGAATCGTTTCACAATCTTATCTGCATCCTTGGAGAATATTCTTAATCTTGTCCTTTTTTAGTTTTTATTATATACTTCGGGACTTGAAATCTCGATTTATGTTGTAATCACTTCCGTACTTTAAGATCCCTTAAATTGATATATTGCAGTAAATGGGTAAATTGATCCCTTTATCAAAACAAATATCATGTTTCAATTTAAACCTGCATGATCTCTTTAACGGCAACAAAATTTATTCTTGTTCTTACGTAACTCCTCCCCCTTTATTTTAAAAAAATAAAAATAAAAAAAATTATTTTAATTATGATCTAATTACAGAAAAAAAAAATTAAATGACGGGAAACATACTATAAAAAAATTAAAAACTTTTTTTCCTTACAATTTTTAATTATTTTTTTATTGCATATTAATTAAAAAAAATCGTATCGCGTATTATTAATTAAGAATAAATCGATTTATTATTTATTATGTTAATTCTCATTTTTCATTTTCATTTTTTTTATTTTCATTTTAAAAAAAAAAAAGATCTTTAGGAAAGAATTAAATAAAGTTCACGTTCATTTTTATGCCAATTTATCTTTTAATTAATTAATTAAATTTTTTTTTCTCTCTTTATTTTCGATCCAAATGAAATAAAAAAAAAAAAAAAAATTTATTGATATAAAGATGCTTGGCAAAATCTTTTTAAAGAAACGTTCCTTTTAATTTAATATTGAGAAATCCATCTTCACTCTTTTAATTAAATTCTTTTCCTTGGTAAAAACTTCATTTTTCCGTTAAATATTGTGATTGTGATTATTCCCTACTTCTTTCTTCCTCGATTCCTCTTTTTTTTTCCTTTTTCTTTACATGATTTCATGTCGTTATTAATGATAAATTTTTTTCACGACACACTTTTACCCCATCTCTTTAAATGCTTCTTTTTTATGCCTATTATCTTTAAGTAATAAATTATTTCTGAAACATTAATAATAATAAAAAATTTTTTAGACTCTCAAAAATGAATGATGAACTAGATCAAAATAAAAATCAAAAACAACTACAAACACAAGAATCATCCCCTCAATCACACCCAAAACAATTACAATCACGAGAACACTCATTACAATCCCTTTCCCAACCAGAACAACAGCAACTTAATCCTTGTAATAACAACGAATTAAGCGATATCGATAACACTAATCATAATTCTAGCAGCCAACCCGAAAACGTCACTAACACAAGTGACAACGAAGAAGACAACGAATCGTTCAACTTTGATAATCATCCGTTCGTTGTTATTTCACAACATTCCAGTCAACAATATCCAACTCCTCGATTAATATCTGAAGACGAAGAAGAAGAAGAGGTTTTCACTGAATTTTCGGATTCTGAATCAGAAAAGGTTCATTGTATAATTGATGAAGAAAATATGCCTTCGATAGAAAATGAAGGAATTTGTCTTACCTCTGAAAATTGGATAACTCGTAGAGATGAAACAGTTACGAGAATCGATCAATTTATACAACGTGATAGAGTGATATTAATTAGAGCCCCACCGTTCACTGGGAAAACTTCCTTATGTATCTTGTTAGAAGAATATTATCGTAGAAAACGTGTTCCAGTCCTACAAATATGCTTTTTAGGTGTTGAGGATATGCCCTTTGAGGAATTTTGGATAAATGAAACCGGAAAAAGCTGGAAATATTGGCTTAATCCCAAACACGGTGAAAGGGTTATCATATTAGATGAAACTCATCATATCTTTGACGGAGCCCAATATGAAACCTTTTGGCTAAGGATAAAATCGTTGTGCCGTCAAGCTTCACTTGGTAGAGAAACTATAAAAGTCATTGCTTTTTCTACGGGAGGTAGATTGGCTACATCCGCTCAAAGTCCAGTGGATTTTCAACAGAAATTTGGATTCGGTTTAGTTCATTGTACGCCATCCGAATTAAAGGAATTGGTCGAGGCGTTTAATAAATATAATTCTAAAAAGAAGATTCATGTTAGTGAAAAAATTGCTCAGCACATTATGGAATTTACCGCTGGACATTTGGGTCTAATTCGTTGGATATTAAACGGAATTGATAATTATTTTTCTTATCGCGGAACGAGTTACAAAATTACTACCGATCCCGAAATAATGTCATATTTTACGTCATCGGATTTCATTGAACATGTTAAAGCTCATCGTGGCGCTCCGCTTTACAAATTTAATACTGCGGAAGGAGAAGTTATAGATAAACTTCTACTTAAGGATGAGTTACGTATTCATTCGACTGGTCCGGATGAAGCCGTAACTGCATTACTTAAAGCCGGAGTATTATTTTATATTGATGACAAAGGTCCTGAATTTATTTTGAGAGAAGGTCGAGTTGGGTTCGTTTCTCCTGTAGCTCGATTACTTTCATTCTTTCATCGTTGTGTGTCTTTTAAGCAACCGCTTCAAGATGGTTTCACTTTACAAGAACTCGTTCGTGAAGCATTATCAAGGGTCAATTCTAAAGCTTTAACTCATAACCTAGGACGATCAAAAGATGGGATGAGACTTCTTGAACGTGTTTGGCAAATGGAATTCTATAGAGCCATCTATAGTTGTTTGCCTGATGAAATGCATATATCACCTGATGTAGGAAGAATCTTTGCGACAGATGGTGTAGTTGACTTTTATATATCTGAACCTCAATGGGCAATTGAACTTTTGATCGATGGAATTGACATGAAAAGACATCATGAGCGTTTTCAAGATGGTAATTTTCAAATTTTTATTTTGTTTATTTCACTTTGTTTATTTTTTTTTTTTTAAATCGAATATTGGTTTGGTTTTCTTTATTTTTAGGAGGACGATATTCTTCAATTCCTATAAAGGATTATATCATTCTTGATATCCGTGAAACACGAACGGTAATAAAATCGTACCCTAATACCTGGCATATTACCCCAAACACTGACTTTACAAGTTTTAGTATAATAGAAGGCAGCACAAGTTTTGATGTATCGGTAAGAAAAGTAATTAATCGATCTAATATGAAAATATCTACACAAGAATGTGAAGCATTAGAATTTGAGATGAAAACTTTAAAACGTAAACGAGATGATGATGATGAATTTAAAGAATATAAAAAACGACAAAATAGAAAGGATGTGATTGAAAGTTTAGAAAAGTTGGTCGATTTCTTACAAAAAAGGGAAAGGTATCTAATGGAAAGGGGTGCCATTGAAGAAGCAAGAGAGGCTCAACGTGAACTCGATCGAGCTTCTGGAGAATTAACTAAAAATTTGTATGAATCTCTTGGTCGATAATTTTTTAATTTGTGTCAACCCAATTTTTTTTAATTTTTTGCTCTATCGAAATATCGAAATATCGAAATAGTTTTTATCTCAGTCTTATATATATGAATTATATGAATAAAGATAAAAAAAATTCACGGTTTGATACCATGAATAATTTTAAAATATTTACATTGATAATTAATTTAAAAATAAATTATCTTTTATCACTAACGCTTTTATTATTAATACTGACTAAAAACCTGGAAATTGCATAAAATAACAAATAAATCTAATAAATGGTTTAGAAACAATGTTCTTTTGCACTTCATTTCTTTTTTGCACGTTTTATTGAAATAAATATATAAATTATAATGCAGAGTTATAAAAAAAAGACATTATAATTTTAACATTAGAATGTTTCAAGGGTTCTATTTATTAAATTACAGTACTTTAAGCATGACACCTTTCCAATTCTTATCAGAAGGAATTAAGATATACTAAGATAGGTAAATATGCAAGGTCTCAAGTGATAAATTTAATGCAATATCATTTGAAGAAATTAAGAACACTATTATAAGTTATTGTAAAGCAGGTAAAATTTTACCACTACATTCACCGAATCCAATCAAATAACCATCCCCTTGACAATATCCTGTTAGTACTATTTCATCTTTATCTTCAATAAATTTTCTTTTAATTCCATTCTCGAAATCAATTTCATTTTGACCATTCCATGTGATTTCCAGTAAAGATCCTCTGGAATCTTCAGTCTAAAAGCAAAAATATTTTTTAATTTGGAATAATTTTTAATGAATAATATAAAAAATTGACTTACACTTCCACTAATAGTTCCAGTACCACATAAATCACCAGGACGCATATTACACCCATTTACCGTATGATGGACAAGTTGTTGCTTTAGAGACCAATACATGTACTTTAAATTTGATCTTGTTAATGTTTTGAAAAAATCACTTTTATTTGCTATTCAATAAAAGCAAAGATCGTTAGATATATTTAAATTTAAATTGAATTGAATCGAGAAATATCCTCAATCGTTACGTTTCATTTTTACTTCCAATTGAATGTTATATGCCGATGGAACATCATGATTGAGATAGGATAAAGGAGCAGGATCCTAAAAACAAATAATAAAAAAAAAATCAATTTAAACAATTTTGTTAAAATAAAAAGGATATAAAAAATGTGTATATTAAATTGCAAACCTGAGTGGGTCCATTAACTAAAAATGGTTCTAAGGCATCTAACGTGACAACCCATGGTGAAATGGTTGTTCCAAAATTTTTACCCAAAAAAGGGCCTAATTGGTAAAATAAATGATATTATTTATTTATTTATTTATTATAAAAAAAATAAATTCTTACCTAGCGGTACATATTCCCAGGCTAATATAATATTACAATAGCATACAATTAATTTTTCTGATTTATCGGTTAAAGAACAAAATTAATAACATACCTTGAATATCTCGAGCTATATATAATCATATGATCAGGTCAGATGAGTGAAAAAAAGTAAATAACGAAAGAAATAAATAAACACAATTCTTTACCACTCCAATCATTCATTAAGACCAGGCCAAAAATATGTTTGTTTGCTTGATCAATCGGAATTCGCTCCCCGGGTTTATTACCTGAACCAACAAAAAATGCCTAAGCAATTTAAATGTATAAGAAATTTTATCCTTTTTCGTAGTGTTAACAAGGATATGCTTTACCATTTCTAATTCAAAATCTAACTTGGCGGAGGGACCGAAAATTGGGGGATGATCTTTTGCAGGTAATCTCTGTCCGCATGGCCGAACAATATCCGTTCCGGAAACAACAATTGATGAAGACCGTCCGTGGTACCCAACCGGTAAATGTACCCTTGAACGTGTTTTTTTTTTAAAAAAAAATAATCAAAGTATATTACAATATAAAACGACATGACAAGTGGATTTAGTTAAATACTAACCAATTAGGCATCAATGCATTATCTTTGCCTCTGAACATTTCACCAACATTAGTAGCATGTTCTTTTGAAGCATAAAAATCCGTATAATCTCCAATCTGGGCAGGTAAATGCATTTTAGCTGATTTCTGTGCCACGAATGCTTTTTGTCGAAGCTGGTCATTGTCTCGTAATTCTGGATTATCATTTGACAAGATGTTTTGTAAGAATCTTCGTGTAGCTTGCCATAACGGTTTTCCTAATGACATAAACGAATTTAAAGAAGACTATAACACAAAAAATAATCATTTAAAAGTTAATATAAAAATGTAGAATAAATTATTCGCATTTTTTATTATTACCTGAGAAAAAACATTCGATGGACTCTTCAATTCCGAAACATGATGTTCAAATAAAACAGTTATGGCAGTCAAGTCTAATATTTGGTCCCCTATAGCAACACCAACTCGGGGCGTAGGCTATATATACATGGCATGGATATAAAAATTAAGAATTAATTAAATGAAAATCATGCATGCATCCAACTCCAACTTACATTTTGCTGAGTAGAAAAAATTCCAAATGGCAAATTTTGGATAGGAAAATGTGAATCGAAAGATATCTGTATAAAAGATTTCATGATTCTTTGGATTAAAGTTTAACAAATTATATCATATAAATACTAAAATTTAGTCAAAAGACCGTGAGATGATAGTATGTTTTTAATTCAAAATTGGAAGGTAGTACCAAAAGGTATACTATTATTTATTAATTAACGTAGAATATATTCCCATTCGGGGTATGACGATTCTTTAGATTAGTAGATGATCGACGATTTTCTTAGGAGTTACTCGTGAATAGAGTTTGGATCCGAGTATCCATATTATATATCCATAATATAAATTTAATATCCGTTATACATATAAAAATTAAACCTGGATATGGATAATTTAAAAAAAATTGAACGGATAATCCATATCCATGTTATCCATGGATATACGGATAATACGAATAATCCATATCCAAGTTAATATATGGATAATATGGATATTGATAAAATCATTCCCAAAGGAACGATATATCATCGTTCCTTTAGAACGATTTCTTTTATTGTTCTTTTGGAACGATACATAACCGTCCTTTAGAATGATTATTTTTTTTATTGTTCTTTTGGAACGATACATAATCGTTCCTTTAGAATGATTATTTTTTTCATTGTTCTATCGGAACTATACATCATCGTTCCTTTAAAATGATTTTTTTTATTGGAACAATACATAATCGTTCCTTTAGAATGATTATTTTTTCATTGTTCTATCAGAATGATACATCATCGTTCCTTTAAAACAATTATTTTTTCATTGTTCTATCAGAATGATACATCATCGTTCCTTTAGAATGATTTCTTTTATTGTTCTTTTGAAACGATACATAATCGTTCCTTTAGAATGATTATTTTTTTATCGTTCTATCAGAATGATACATCATCGTTCCTTTAGAATGATTATTTTTTCATCGTTCTATCAGAACGATACATCATCATTCCTTTAGAATGATTTCTTTTATTGTTCTTTTGGAACGATATATAATCATTTCTTTAGAATAATTATTTTTTCATCGTTCTATCAGAATAATACATCATCATTCCTTTAGAACGATTTCATTTATTGTTCTTTTGAAACGATATATAACCGTTCCTTTAAAATGATTATTTTTTCATCATTATATCAGAATGATACATCATCGTTCCTTTAAAATGATTATTTTTTTATCGTTCTATCAAAATGATACATCATCATTCCTTTAGAATAATTTCTTTTATCATTCTTTTGAAATGATACATAATCGTTCCTTTAGAACAATTATTTTTTCATTGTTCTATCAGAATAATATATCATCATTCCTTTAGAATGATTATTTTTTCATTGTTCTTTTGTAACAATTCATTATTATTCTTTAAGAACAATTTTTTCATCGTTCTTTTGAAACGATTCAATTATCGTTCCTTAAGAACAATATTTTTTCACCATTCTTTTGGAACAATATTTTTTCATGATTATCCATGAATATAAGGATTATCCACAGATTATCCATACAAAATTATTTATCCATGAATATTATCCAAAGTAGTAAAATGAGTATCTGCAATCTGTTATCCGTACAGATACACAGATTACAAATATACAGATCCAAACTCTACTCATAAAGTTCCCTGATATTGATAGGCAAAATAATTCCAATAAATACTCTTTTTTGATGCGATTTGCTTATGAAAATACTCAATGCTTTTAGTTCTGGTTTTTTAGTCTTTAGAATTAGTAATCGATTTGGTATAACTAATATATCTAGATTTTGATGTATCTATTAGAGTAGCTAATCAAAGGAAAATAGAAACTCACCTTTTGAATCAGACTCATATATATAGAAAAAAAAATTTTTATTTGTAAATAAATAGTATAATTTAAATTTTTATTTGAAAATAATAAACAAAAATGGTTACGTTAACAATATAACAACCTTCGTTTTGTTACGTAAACCATTTCTGATTCAAACAATATGAAAGAATTCATTTGTTATGTTAGATAATTAATTATCCTGTTATTATGATATTATGTCATCATAATCCTTGAAAGTATTTTTACTTTTTTTTTATGAATTAAAAAGTATTATTGATTTTTATTTAAAATATACGTTAAAATATAAAAATTTATTAATAAAATTTTTTATCTAAAGCAAAAAAAAACCAAATTTTTACTTATCTTTATTTTTGCCTCTTTCTTTATGTAAGTTTATATTTAATATCCTAATTTTTTATTTTTTTCTAAAAATAAATAATTTCATATTTTATCATCTTCGTGCTGTGGCGTAATATTTCAACAATCCTTACAATTGTAATTTTTTACTTCATTTTTTAAAATTTGCTTATTTTTTTTTTATTATAAAATTTTTTTCAAAATTAATTCACATTAAATATATCATGTTTATCTTTTCAGAAAGATTTTGATGATTATTATCTAAATATTATTATATATTGAATAACTCCTTTCATTTACTTTTAAATAGCCATAATGAGATTACTTTTTTTAACATTCTAAAAAGTATAAAAAAATTAATAAACCTTAAAAAAAAGATTTAATATGATTAGTAGATATATGAAATACAGTTTTTTTAATATCTGCAATAATCCATTAATTTTTCATAAATCTGCTAAATCTGCAGATTTCTGCTTAAAGCAGGAGATTATCATTCCTGTTTTGCATTATATATTTTTAACATAGGAATTTAATTATATTTAATATTATTTTATTATAACATATGTATATGATTCTGAATTATATATTTTTAATACAAGAATTTAATTAAAACTTATGCTATCACTGGGAATAATTCTCTTTCTATTACACATGTTTCGTTAAGTTACTTTATTGCAGTAAGTAAATTCTTATCATCAGACTTTACAACTTTAGGAATTTTACACCTTACAGGTATCCGAAATGTCTTAGAATTACTTCACTTAACTTTATGAACTTAAAGGTTTAAGGACTTAGAAAAATACGTAGAAAATTTATTTATTCTAAGTGACAAACTCAAAAGCAAGTTAATATAGTAGTTCACGATAAATTTCTAGATGATGAATATGTAGAAGGGAAAAGTAATTGGTTTTCAAAGTTGATTCCTTTATTTATTACTTGAAACTCACAAGTTATTTTTACAACTTGAGTAAAAAGCTATTCTATTTATACAAAATTAATTTGCTATAGCTAACTACAGAGGGCTGCCAAAAGTCTCTGAACACCATGTTTGACATCGTATAACTCAAGATGCACCGATTAGAATTAGTTCAAACTTTCATATAATCTTGATATAATCTCAATCTATAATATATTAAAATATCATTTAATTTGAATCGGTAGAAGCTGAGATATATATGTAAACGTAAATTCATAAATATTTTAATTATATAAAAGTT